TGCAAATTGAAAATCATTAAGATATCTAATTGAGACTAACAAAATCAATGAACACGATGCTTTAAGAAAATACTTAAATTTTAATAATTTAATTGAGTGATCAAATGATATCGGATTCGAGTGATTTTGTTGAGATGATCTTCGAATTATGGTTTGGATTAGTGAAATACAATGTGGAGTGGGCCCTGCAAAAGTGTCCATCAAATGAGTTTATTTTAGAAATCCCTCAACAGAATCTCTATATAGGAGTGGAGGTACTCTAGGGCTTGAGGTGGCCCTGGCCCCTTCACAATTTGTTCTCAACACAGTAAAGGTTGGGCTTTAGTTCGTATATTTAACAATGCAAACCATATAACCATTCTAATGGCCCCCATTGCAATTCATAATAACTTCATTTATAATTATATGTAAAATATTTGTGGACCCATTACACCGCTGAGCCAATAATCATAAAAAGGAAAGTATTAATCCTTTAATAATCAAACTGATGAGCCAAGGGAATAAAAAATAAATAGTTTAAAGGGAAATGAGATTTTATCAAAAGACTTTTCTATTTTGATACATGAAATTGATTACAAAGTTGTAAAAAATATCAATTTTTTCTTATATATATTATTGATGCATGATTGATTTTTTATTTCTATACTTGTATTACAGTTCAGCTCCCACACATACAATCCTAACTCCGCCAATATATATTCTATAGTTATTGCTTTTTGTCTGGGATTTGCCTCCTCTTGACTGGCAAGAAGCGTGTATATATGACTAAACTTGTTTGAGTTCATCGATATCTTTGAACTGAAATTAGGACTTTGCATGCTCCCCCTTTTTTTATGTTTTTGTCAGGTACAAGACTTATTGCTTTCATAATAAGTGTTTTAAGATCCAAACTAAAATCAATTCAGTCTAATCAAACAATTTTAATTGGTTTTCTCCTCTACCGGTTGGATTCTGTGTGAAATGTGAAACCAATTTAATTGGCTTTACATCCTTTTAAGTACAAAAAATATTACATGTTTAGTGTTATAGGGTGTGAGTTTGGACTTTGCCACTTTTTCTTTTTTATTCTATAAATATTTATGTCAAGGGCATGTTCTTATTTAATTGTGAAAATGTTGAGAATTTGTATGTTTCAAATATCCACATAACCTAACACGAGGAGTACGAAAACACAAATTCAATCCAACTTCTAATTGCATTAGATTGGATTATGAAACACAAAACTCGACTGCAGTTAAATTGGATATGATTAACTTTGAATTTATGATCTTCTCAAAAAATAAAAATGAAAACTATATATCATAAGGTTAGATTGTCACTAAAAGATAGAATAATGTTTTTTTAAAAATACAAGCGATAGTCTAACTTACAAATGAAAAAGAGTTTCTCACACATACTACTAGGGTGTCACGAGAATTTCAACCTAAAAATAGAACAATGTTTAAATTAGCCGATTTGAACAAAGAAATTTCTTAAACTTCAACTTTAAAAAACGCTCACAAACTAATGTCCAAGAAGTGTGTTGGGACTAACAATGTTAATTCATGTATTTTTTGTCCCTTAAAAACGAAAATATTTATGGTGCCCTTGATAAATAAAAATAAAGAAATAAAATAAGAAAAAGTTTTTTAATTTATTTTTAATGGTAGTCTTTTGATTCAAAATTCCTAATGAAAGACATAATCACTGCCACAATCAGACAAGTAAGTCAGGCATCTGCTACCATCCATCCGCGTGAATCACACTAATCAAGACCCGAATATGAGAACCGGGAGCACCGGTTTCCCGGTCAAAACGAGTCAGACACCTCACACAAAATACCAAACCGAGGCGACCTTCCCTGAGAGCCACACCTCACAGCCAACCGACAGCTGTAGATGCCTTCCCTCGCTCGGCCCTTTGCCTATATAATCTATCACCCACTCTCTGACCCACACGTGTTCCTCTTGTACACAAATTGCTCCATTAATTTAATGAACTCAAACCACCTTTTGACTTCAACCCTGTTTTGTTCGAGGCATAATGGACAATGTGCGCCCTGTTGCTCTGTGGGTTATGCCACGTCACTCGACTCAATGACGTGGCATAAGGTCACTCATAGAATAAAACGTTTTTATTTATTTATTACGGGAGCATAGGGTCACCCAAAAAAGCAAATTTCACTTAAGGAATTAAGGGTAAGCACTTTTTTTTTCTTCCAAAGTTAAGATGGGTAATGAGGATTTTTCACTGCGAAGGTGTTATTGAGGTTCAAACTTAATATCAGTGGACTACATAGAAAATGTTTTTAATCACTTGAGCTACAAATTCCTTATCAATATGTACATAGTTAAAGATAGATTTTAGCTTGAAAAATCTTCTTAAAATTTGAATATTGAGGTTAATTTCGAATTGAAAACTAGGTACAATAGATAAAAACTAGGTAAGAACAATAAATACACAATTGGAGATGTTGTAATTCCATTTGAATTTGGTTTAGAGTAGGTTTCCTATAATGTCAAATTTCTTAAAAGGATAGGGCACAATGATGATGTGAAAATGTATCTACCTCAGTACATTTCTGGTTTAATACTTAAGTCACTTTATGTGTCACTAGACCTAATTCACATGTGTAATAACTTTCCCACCAACTAAGCAATAATTCAGAGAATTACTTTTTGCTAGTCTAAAGATGCATGTTCACACACGTGTAGGGTCACTATTCAATCCTTCACATTTTATCAATAATTTTATTTAGTTACAAAGGAGAGGAGACTATTTAATTAACTTACCCTCTTTACTATTTTGGTAAAGATAACTTTTCATTTACATTTCCCCACCCTAAAATTTAAAAAAACATGTTGCTAGATTCATTTTCTCTACATCAACTTTTAAAAATCAAATTTTGTCTCTTTATACACACCACAATTAAAGAAAAAATGAGATTTTTTTTTTTATAGGAAACTTGCTACCATAATCACGGCGTAGTGATTTTGGCGCTCCCCTTTAAAAAAAAAAACATAAATGCACACCAAAATGTATTTATTTATTTTTGGAAAAAACTATATTTTAACTATTCTAATGTTGTGGGAGGATTGAACTCATGTGCAATGTGAGGGCACACTGTCTTGGCATGTCATCCCTCAATCCCTTTTTTTATATATATATATTTTATAAATATAATAAAAAATAGTTTAAGGGGAGATTAATTATTCTCACCACAAACGCCAGAGTAGACCCATAACCTCGAGCCAGATTGCTGGCAGTGAGACTTGAACACTAATGAGACTACACACAGTATATGGACCTTACCAACTGAATAAACCCTCATTGGCCCTCAATCTTATTTTTCTTGACTATAAATGCCCCCTAAGGTTGCTTGGGAAAGCTATTGTAACAAACACTTATGTTCATAAGCAATTTTTTATTTATAGAAATGCTTCTAAGGAACGTTAATTTTTTTTTATTGAAAATCCAAATGCTTCTCGATATAATGTAAAATAGTAATAATAAGTGGGTGCAAAGAGATATTTTGGGTGCGCATGTAAGAAATACAATTTGCTTTTGATCGAGAAGGCATTGTAGGTCCTCTAGACGACGTGGCGAGAACTGAAAGCGACAGCATGGACCATTATGCTAAGCCAAAACCAGAAAATCAGCGCACAAACCAATCACGGGGCTACGCTTCCAAAATAAGCTTACCCGTCGCCTTGTTTGGTTTCTAGCTTCGGTTGCGTTTCGTTGCTTTGTTTGCGGGATTGCCACAAGCGCACGTTAGCACCAAGCAGAAGCAGGGGCAGCTTTTTTCGGGTTTTAGTTTTGCGGGAAAGAAAAGTAGATGGTATCGTACGCAACCTGCGCAAAAGAGATGGGGGCTGCCGGTGACTTCGCTTGATTGCATGCTTGCGCCAACGAGGGGTATAGTGGTAATTGTGGCAAAAGGTGTTTGGTCGTTGTTAAATCATTGATCAGACGGTCGTGGTGAACAAAGAGTTTGACTGGTGCGGGGGATGATTAAATGCGCATGGTAGGTGTGGGACCCTATTTAATTGCATCACAGAGATTTTGGATGGAAATATTTTGATGCCGCTCTGTCACGTGACTCGGGACCTCTGTGCATGTGACCGTGTCTTGAGCATCATAAAGTCTATAATATAATTCCATCCCGTAAAGAAAAAAAATGTGTGATAAAATAAGTGGTTTTGCTTACTAATATTAAACTTTTAAATAATAAATTATTACAAAACATAGGTACAAATTTTATATTAAGGTGATACAAGGATTAAACCATATGTTGTCTTTTGTTGGTAAATTAGAAAGAGATAGAACTCATAAACTATCCTAATTATAACTCACATTCTTTCCATTCCTCATCACTCGGGTTAGCCATAAAAGTTTGTACTACCGATTTTCATAGACTTATTATTCTCAATTTTTTAATTTCTCTAAACTTAAATCTACATAATTGCTATTAGCACTATAATATAGTAATCCTACACTCATTTCTATGTTATTTTTCTTCATCAGAAAGAAGTTTGTGATGATTATTTTAGAGTGTCAATAATAGCTTCTAACCTTGAAAACGTTTTCTCCTTTATTCTTCCATATTGCCTCTTCCCCGTTATTGTTGTATAAAACGTGGCTGGCCCACATTCTTTAAGGGAGTAAAGGTGCCCAACAAGGCTCAGCTATTGGCAATTTTGCACAAGAAGAAGACCCGCTTAGCCCAAAGTGTCATATCAATCTCTGTTGTTTATGTATTTGTACTCCTCATCCATACCATCCGCATTCTAACCATCTGATTTACATAACCAACAGCTAGCCATTTCTTGTCACTTGTAACAGAATGCAAGAATTCAATTTTTCACACCCAATAGCAATCAAAATTGAGGTTTAAAAGCACAAACTTCCTTTGAACAAATAAAAACATCATCCAGTGAGCCAAACTGGAGAAAAGGTATCATCCAAATAAAAAGATAGTTTGGGGGATAGGGAATTTTAAAGGAAAAAAGAAAGAGGAATCTTAGAATTTTCCACCTGCGTTTTATTCACCACAAAAAAAATGCTTTCCATGCCCCCCAGTTTTTGCTCATCAAATTGATCTCCAGAGAACCTATCCAACTCCGGAGATTCACAGGTGAAAATGGGGGGGGCAGGAGAGTGTGTATTAAATATTCCCTTTTAAGATACTGAAATAAAAAAATAAGCAAAGTGCACCTAAAAAAATCTGGCTTCAACCAGATTGGTCTTGTACGGGTTCTGAGGAAGTTGGAGAAGGTGGCACAGAACCAGCTTGTTCAGGGGAATCGTCAGCAATCTTTGTATCTGAGTTCTCATACTTGTTGTTCACAGGTTTCTTGACCCCATCAGGAAATTTTGCGGAGATGGAGGGGGAAGTCTCTAATCCATGGGCCACTGACCAGCTTCTGGGATAACCAAGGAGGGAGGAATCAAGTGGCAAAGCATTCATACCAAAATTATAGCCAGCAGAATGTTCCACAAATGGGTGATCGAATCTGCAAGTTGGTCCATACTTGCAGATTCCATACATGATGTAGTATGAACATACTGGTTGCCCCTGCAAGTTGGCTAAGATATTAAAAAGGAATACTGATAGAAGAACCATCGAAACAATTCTCTGAGTTGTTTATAAGAACTGAGCTGAACAGTGCACAAACCAACATGCACATCACTGTAATCTAGAAAATAGAAACAAAACTTACAGGTCTTGAGGGAAGCCCAAGTGGGTGTGTAGCTGATTCTGCAATCCTTTCTTTTGGGTGATGGTACTTGCAATCTATTCCATATTTGCAAGTCCCCGTGCTCATAAAATACCGGCATTCAGGTTGATCAGGCCTATGTGGGAGACTTGAGCTTGACAACAAGTGAACCTGCCCATTGGAAGCTGACTCCCCCTGAGTTCTAGAGTTGTATGTGAGGTTGGAGCCAAGAATTCCAGTGGAAGTCACAGGGCTAATGTTTCCCTATTAAACAAATAAAATATGAATTAGAAATAAAGAAAACTTGCAACAATTCCTCTTTAGTCCACAAAAAATTCAATCACTGAAATCACCAGAGATGCAAAATGTTAAGGCCTTTATGAGCAGCCATATCAACTTTAAAGAATAATGTAGGACATTGAAATTTGAATAATAAAGGGCATATAGATGTAGGACATGACAATGTTAGGCTGCAGCTTCCTTTGGTTTGGTTAAGACTCTTGAGCAACTCATAATTACATGCCAATATGAGGGGGAAAAAGAATGTAACAAACATTTCAATCCACCCATAGAACGCATTCGCATAATGGGAAGGAAAATTTCTTCATAGCTAAGGATATAAAGAAGCAAGGAGCAGCATAGTTGACAATGACATCAGAGATTCTTAAAGACTTTGTACTTTCCACTGTTTTCGACAGATGACTGTCAATGATCCTTGAAGATCATATAAACTCTTCATACTAAACAATTCATCAGTGTGAAGTAAACTACATGACAAATTTTGAAGTGTCCTTGCCGCATTCCAAGCTGAAACCATGGCAATCTTATTCAAAAAGAAAAGAAAAAAAATTGAAAAGGCTATAAAGCAGTTTCTTGTCATTTCTCCCAAAAGAAAAAACCAGCTTTAACACAGTGTAATACCACAATATAAGCAGAGAAACCTTAGTGTTCCTCACGAATGTATGACACTAATAGGAACATAATATAGTAATGTCGGCATTTTGTTCTATTAAAGAGATAAGACACTGACCACATAGGTGTTCCATCCATGGGCAGGTACAATGCCTTGGGGTGGAAGAACAACAGGCATGTAAGAATGTGGAGATTGTAAACGTGGGCCTGATAAATATGGCGCTCTTGGAAATGACCATGCAGAAAGTCCACCTGCATAAGGTAGACCTGAAGAAGGCAAAACTGTGGAGCCTGCAGCTCCAAAAGCAGGTAAGACAGTGCCAAGTGACTGAGGCTGGGGATGATGAAACTTGCATGCAGGTCCAAACTTGCATGATCCAGTTCGCATGTAATAAGGACATGATTTTTCTTCCTGAGATTAATCAATCTAAAAATTGTTAAAATGGCGAGCACACTTATTCTCTGAAAGTCTAGTTGAGAACAACCAGGACTCAAGTGACAAAGTTAAGTCAAGAACCTGATGCATGGGGAGTCCTAAAATGTTGAATACGACTGGTCCAGCTCCACGCCTGTCCCTTGGATGATGGAATTTACAGGTAGATCCATATTTGCAAGTTCCTGTCTTCAGAAAATACTGCCACACAGAGTGCATACATTTGCTACAATCGTTAATATTAATCCAAGTGTGAAAGTTTCTTTTACCCAATGAACCAACAGCTCACAGATATATAAAGGAATTAAAGGAAAAAAAGGTCTTATGTTTAACCCCATGTTAATTGAAACATGGGATTATGCCTACTAATGGTGAACAAATTTAACAAATACCCGTAAAGAAAAAAAATAAAGGAGCATCAGGTCATAACCAAATACAATATTAGATGTAGCAAACAACTGACTATAATCGGAATATCTTTAGAACAAGCTTGCCTAGATATCATCATTCAATTTTCATGTTTCTACTTAACCCTAAGAGATTCTCACACTGACAGTCTCCATAAAAGTCTGCACTTGGATAATATAGTAGATACATTTTTTAAGAGGGAATAACTTGGTTAGATCTTATTAAACAAGTGACCAGTCTAATGTTCTGTTTGTTCCCAGGTCCACACCACTAGGATCAGCAATATATTTGATATTTCTCTTCATATGATGATTCAAATCGCCAATTACATAATTTATACACCTAACAAACTTATATCAACTCAACCAACAAAGTGTATCCGATGAACAAAACAATACCCTGTTTTCAATCTTATTCTAATTCCTAGAAGTTCTAATCTTATATGACTTAGAAAGCATCAACGTAGGAAGCATACAAAGAAGGAAAGGAGGGAGAAGAATGAGTAAGAAAGAAGATTCTTAATCAGCACAATCTGAATTAAATGAAAATCTTACCCCACAGTCAGGTTGTCCAACTCTTTCAGGGAGTTCTCCATTGTACTGAGCAGCCTGCAGATATAATAATGTACCATAAGTTTCAGTTCACTAATACCATTTGAGCCACACTCTGCATAGTTAAGAGCCAGAAAAGAAAAAAGAAAGAAGCTGTGTAGAAGCAATCAATAGAACTCCTCACAACACTCCAAGAAAATTGCAAAAGGCAAAGAAAGAAGCTGTGTCGAAGCAATGAATAAAACTCCTAGCAAGGGCCGCAACACTTCAGTCAAAATGCAATCACTCTATAGAAACCATGCATATCAATTAAAGGAACATTCTTAATTACCTGTGAACCATATTTAGGGTGATTAAAACGACAATTACTTCCATAACCACACAAACCAGTCCTCAAATAATATATGCAGTCAGGTTCACCAGGTCGATCAGGGTATGGGTTAGACTGAGCCACACCGCCCCCATCTTGATTATCGTTGATAGTCAACCGCCAAAATGCCTCTACAATGGATACAAGAAATAGATGTGTAAATTAAATATGGACATCAAATCTTCAAATTTCCAAAGCCTCAATCTGCATTGTATAATCTATCAGAACTCCTCAAAAGAACTAACATGAAGTAGCAAAAGATTACAATTTCCGAAATGTGATACTAAAAAAGCCGTAAACTAGGATCAATCAAATTTTCAATTGGTTCTGAAAGTGAACCCCCAAAAATAGAAACTTTGAAGGCATAATGTGAAATCTCCAAACGAATTGAAAATTTACAACTAAACAACGATACAAAACAACATTCTTCAAAACCCCAATAAGAAAATGACTTGCATCAACATCATACTTCTTACCAACTAAATACCCACTTGTCACAAAAAGGTAAAGTTTTTAAACAACTGAAAACAAAATTCCGAATTTCAACTAATATACTATGAACAAACACAAATTCCTTGATAATCCACAATATGCATTGCACCTACCACTGGAGTTCTCCGAAACCATGACAATATCAACACATCAACAAAACACAGAATCAAAACAATTCAATACATTCCCAGAGTAAACCGACACATAACACATTGCACCGTCATGATCACAAAATATCATAACCATAAAATAAGAGATATATTTCAATACAAAACCATCATCAGATCGTTATACTCCCAACTGGGTACATCAAAACGCGGTGTTACCTTCAACGTTGCCATCGGATTGATTCGGAACAGCATTCTTCTGGGCCTGCCGAGTTTCTGGCATCGGTAGCACAGAGGTTGTGTACACCCGCCCTTTGTTTTGCTTTGCTCTGCTTTTCTCAGTTTCGCCAATCAAACTCATAAAAAAAGCTTCGGACTTTCTCAGGAAAATCACAGCAGCCGACTCCCAAATCTCAGAAATTTGCAACAAAAACAGACCCAAAAATCAAAATAAAAAGGCTGTGTGAATGTGATCAAAGACTCTGAAACTGGAGGAGATAGAAAAAAACAAAAAAGCTTTTGGAGCATAAAAAAAAGGGACTGAGAATCAGAGAGATATAACTCTAAATAAAATTATGGCTATGACAATGTGTTTCTTATTTGATATAAATTTGTTTAAATTTAATTTATTTATTTTTTCTCCATGCTTTTTTTTCTCTTTTCCTTTTCCAACTATATCAAAAAGGCCAAGGAACTGTTGGGGATCTTTGAATGTGAACCCGGAAAAAGTAAGTTTCATCCCCTCGTGTACGAATAATTAAATAGCTCCTTGCGTGAAAAGACATTTATGCCCACCACGTGTCGGGCTCTTATGCTACGTTATTTTGAGTAATTATGTTGGTTAATACCTTTGATTAATGCAGAAGCATGTTGTCAAAAACTAAAGCGCACAGGCCCATGCCATTATTTACTGCTTCATTCAGGCGATCAGGAATTTATTATCTTAAAGAAATAAATATTTCTTGGTCCGGAATATCTTTTTCTTATTATATATTTTATTTATGGTTTGGAAAAAGGAATTCAATGTGATATAATTGAATAAATCCATCACTGTTGGTTCATAAGCCTGTGATTTCATATGGATCGTTGGATTCAGAATTCTAGTGGAATAGATTCGGAGTGATCTTTTGCAAACTACCGTATTTTGTAGAAGACGAAACTATCCCCATGAATGAAAAAGTTATTCACAATAATGACAACAAGAGTGTTTTATGTCTTCCTGAAAGAAGTATTTGTTTACTACAATTTGTATTTCATTTTGTTGGGTTTGAAGAAATGTAAAAAAGGTGTCTGCCCTTAAAAGGGCAGGAGAGATTTCGGCAAGATGAAAGTTAGGGGGAGGTGGTGAGATTTCGACCACAAGATATAAAATTATATATGGGAGTTCATTAGTGAAACCTATGGATCTTGAATTGTAACTCAAATTTTAGTAACGCACCATCATGTTTAATTAATTATGCGTACTAATTTTTCTACTAACTACTCATTTTAATTACAAACAGTGAGCGAGAATAAGAAAACGACATGTTTCTGTTAATATGCTAAAATTATTTTGAAGATATACTCTCTTTTTTTCCACGCATTAATTGATCTACCAACTGCCCTATTTGACCTCAAACAACACTTGAGAATGAAAAAATGACACGTTTATGTTAATACGCTAAAATTATTTTGAAGTTGTACTATTTGTTTCTTAGCGTATATATAGTTCCTCAATCACATTTGTAGAGGACTAGCACTCCAGTGGTTGTGGTGGGAAATATCTACTACAAATGGAACATAAAAATTAAAATTATGGATAGAGAAAGATCCATGCTTCATCCTATAAACAAATGTCATGCTTCACTCTACTAGTAGCAATAAGGATATCATAGGATCACCTATATATATATATATAGCTAGGTTTGCCACCACCATGGACAAGGTCTATGCATTTTTCAAAAGTGTAGGATTTTCTAAACGTGTGCACCAACGTTGTCAATAGTTTTTTTTTTTTTTTTTCAAGTGGACTGGACGAGCAGAACTGAACCAGTTCAGACATTATAAAACCCTTTTCTTTTTCCTTTTCCTTTTATTGTTTGTGAAGAAGGAAAGAAAATGAGGGGAAGGGTATAATGGTCAATATAAGAAACTGAGACCCCAAGCACTTCGCTGGGTGTCGCTATCACTGTAATTGAGTGGAATTAAATTAATTACCGTAAAGGGGGACTCACCTGGGATTGGGAAGGGTACGATGGTCCAAAGAGGTTAATTTTGCCCCAAGAAATCTCTTTGCACAATTCACACTACACTAACAGGTGTGGGTCCCGGGGGAGGGTGGGCAATTAGATTCGACCGAGTGGACCACCACCAATTGGCAGCGTAGAAAGTGTCATGTCCAGACACCCAGAGAGAGAGAGCCCTTGGCCTTCTTTGTCACGACTCGCTCATTTTTGTGATTGGCTAACGACCCCATTGTATGTCCTCACTGGTCGCTTTAGGCTCTGTAGCACAGGCCCTGATTTCGTAGGTTCACTGCGTCGCAGCAACTCAGGACTATTGTTGACCCCTACGTCAACTTAATTTCTGCCACAACAAACTGAGAAGAAAGTATTCTCCACTTTTGACCACCGGTTTGGGTACGGGGTTTTCTTTTCTTTTGTTCTTTCTCAAAATTCTCTGATAAGCTAAGCAGTCAAACAACATAATTGCAGTAACATCGAAATGATTTGTTAAATTGGACAACAGTTTAATATATAATAACTTTCAACACTCATTTTTGTTAAATTGGACAACAATCCTGTATCTTATAAATCCTACATAGAGATGAGAACTGGTTTAGACTTGACTCTAATTCAATCCAAGACCAAGACCGGCCATCAAATGAGACCATAGTACACCTATGTGATTATTAGATGCAGCATAAATGGTTGGGTGTTTTAAAAAAAATAAAAATAAATCGTAAATGAAAATACTTGGGTTCGTTTTAGGTGCATATCTTGCTTGGCAAACGCCAAAACAGGCAACTATGTCACGATCTTATGAAATATTTTTACCCATATCGAATTTTCCATTTTCGGTTAATAGTAAAGTTGAAATTCGTAAACTCAGTACTAATTGATGTTTTATAATTCCTGATGTGAAAGTCTTTATAAGTTAGCTAACTGTCACTTTTGTGGGCTTCATACCTAAACTACTGAATCTCCGGAAATAATTCTGACATTGAAATTATAGGACAACGTGTCATCTTTTATCGAAAAGACCTGTCAAGGCGTCCAAAGTAGTCCTTTGGAAGGTATGTTGCCCTGAAACAGGGAAAGGTATGTTGAGAGAGAGAGAGAGAGAGAGAGAGAGAGAGAGAGAGAAATCTAAAGGCAGCTGCCGTATATGGAAGAGGACCATGATAGTAAACAAACATAATAAGAAAGAAGGGAGTTGGCAGTTGGTCAAGGACGTTAAAGCTTTAACATAAATTATTGAAAACTAACAGGTCAAGCAAAAGCCAGTAGAAGTAGGCAACAACACTAGCATGAAGTTAAACATCGTCTTCGGTCAGGCACTTTAAAAGTAAAGTCGCCTTCACATTGGCTAGTTTGGTTCCAGCTATAGATTGTTAGGATCCTAAGCTTTTAGACCAGATGTCCCAAGAAAACTAGGAAACGAATCATATCCAACAAGTTCACAAGGGGACAAATTAGCAGCATGCATAAAGGCTGGTCAAACCATGCTTTCGAAAAGTCAATCATGACTAACTTACATTTTACCAAAAGAATTTGACTGCGACAGAAGCTAAGCTGTGATTTTTGTATAAGCATTTAAATTCCCCTGCTTAAACCAAAGGTAAACAATAAATAAATTAAAGTTGAAAGAAGCCAAAAATGCCGAATCATACCAAACATATATGCGAACAGAAATTCCAAACTCGACCAGTACACTGATTCTGTTGGTCTAAGATCACAGAGCAAAGATAAGCCATATCATAAAAATAGTGAGAAGTAAAGACATGAGATAATATTAAATATAGGAATAGTTCACCTTCTAAAGCATCATCATCCTTAAGCCAGCAAGTGATTCATTTCACCACATAAACTGTGGGAGAATCTCGTTGAAGCGATCATCCCAATGAGCTTTCTCACAATCCCCATAAAAGAACAGTTTACATCGAAATTGATATATAAGTATTAGAGTTCCTGGAGCAAAATTGATGACAAAATAAAAATGAGGTAGAATGAAGTAAAATTTTCAAAGATTGTTCCATTGAAATTAAGTCAATTACTTCCAAAAACATTTCCTGATAGTCAAGTCTTGATTTTGAACGTCTTTAAGTCCTAGTCATACCCCGAACAAGGGAGACAAAAATTACTTGTTGAATTCAGCTACCTCAATAATATCATCCTGCAACATATAAAGCCTCAAAACTTGTCTACAAACTAGAGCAAGAGGTCGCTAATCTGTCTGTACACCTATCTCTCCGCCCTACCTAAGAGTAAGCCGGGATTGTCTTTCCTACTCATATACCCTTATACTGCTAGAGTAATTATAGAGTCAAAAGGCTAAAATTATATTAGCAATATTCACAAGAAAGCTAGGAGCAGCAACTCAACAGAAGAACATGGAACCCTGGACATTCTTATGCAACTTAGGGAGCTCTGGAAATGGGATACTCTCAGCTGAAGTGACACTGCCGTTCCCTGATGAGGTTTCTGAGAGATCTTCAAACTTCATAAACTGCCCCACTTGTGCAGCAGCAAGGTGGGCATAACATATGGGCGCCACTGGAAAATGGTTGGTAATAGTGAGATGGAAGTAAAGCTCTAGACTAACTAGATTTTATCATTTCCACTGGAAAAGAATTTAATAAAAGAAAAAAGATTTAATTGCAGAAGTGTGTTTAATTTACCAATGGAGATTGCAGTTGTACTCCTTTGGTACCTGAAATAAGCAAACATATATCTAGATAAATTCAATTGAAAGGTTATTCAAGCTGAGTCATATGGAAAGGGATTGAAAATGAAAAGCTTACACGTAAGAAAGGGAGTGGATTAAGTTTTGCAAGCCATCAGGAGAAAATCCAATCTCATCAACCAGGACATGATAGTGTGCTGGCCGCGAAGTTCCCTGTCATATGAAGCAACACAAAAGATAAAAAACGTGATAAAAGGAAATTTAGACACCTGAGTTGAGTTGGGGGGAAACAAATACGCTGAAACACTGGGTAGGGGGCGGGTGCTTACAATCATTCCTGCATGAGCACACATGTAGAAATCATAATTCCTTGGATGCACAATATTTGTGTCCACCACTGTCCCTGGAGAGAGAGGGAGAGAGAGCATTAAAACAAAGAGATAAATGATAAAGGCAATAACAAAGTTCAGAAAGTAGCAGACCAGGTGGAACATTATCAGTGGAACCCCCGGTTTGAAATAGCTTCGTGTGATGATTTTTCTGAGCAACAATCACAGTAAACTTGGGAACATCAACCTCCCCAAGGTGCTGGTAAGCCTGCAATAAATAAAAATTTGACCATCTTAATGTTGAGAAAAAAAAGAACAAACTTCAGCACACGGTTGATAGCAGGTCCTAGGGACAAACCCACAGTCCATTAATGCTCTTGGCATAAA